ATATGAGTGCATGAGAGTGAAAACCTGGAAACCGATTTAATAATTTACTATGATTGGTTTCCAGGTTTTCACTCTCATGCACTCATATCATGTTACGCTTACAAATCCATGTACAATGATATTATTTTCGATGCAATAATGTAACGCCTCTAGGATTTTACTAATTTCTCACCCGGTTTCGCTTGGCTAGGATTATTCACACTAATTTACATGTCATCTGTTTAAAATGTGACATCTCAGTTAGGGTCGGGGTTAGGGTTAGTGGACGGAATTATACCAAACTTTTGCAAGAAGTTTTTTTTTGTTAGTGCGTAAAGGGTGATTTATTAGACGAATTTTTGAGATAAATATGATTTTTCAAAAAAGAACAGAAGAACGATTGTTGCTATGATTGTCACATTACATCTGTTCTTGCACTCTGATTGGCCAGAATCAAATTGAGGAAGAAATTAATAAATATGGCAGATTAAAATGAAATTCAGATTAAAATGAAATAATAATATAAAATCTCGAAAAATAAATTTTTTTGGTGGGTTTTTTTAGGGCTAGATGTTAGAATTAGGGGTTAGGATTAGAGTAAAATATATTAAACAAGTATAAGTGGGTTTTAGAAGGTTAGGAAGTTAAATAGAAAATGTGGATTTCATTTTAAATTATGATCTGTGACAATAAATGCCACTACCACAAAAATTGTTTACCTTCGTGGTTTTTGACCAATCAAATTTCAAGATCAGATATGACGTAAACAATCAAAGCAAAATCACTTTTTACAAAAAAACAGTAATAACTTGAAATTTTAATTAAGAGACCACTTTTTGTGGTCTAATTAAACATGCTTTTTGTGAAATTTACTATTAGGTATGAAGCTATTTTAACCCTAAACCAAATTATAATGCAGTTTTATTCTTAGTTGGCTTCATCATTTTGTTGATAAGCAAATCATGAGATATCTAGATACAAATCAATAGCTAGCTTAATAATATAAAATTTTTTTCATCTAGTGAGCGTAAATATATCGAAATTTGATTTATATTCTAGTATTCGTGAGTACTAGAAAAAAATACTGGCTAGTTAATAATTAAACTTTTTTTTTGTATCTAATTCAATATATTCTTGTAAATAGGAACTATATAGTTAGATTTTAGAGTTTGAGAGTTGGTTAGTAGATTTTAGTTTGGTCTTTGAGTTAGAACAAGGGATATTTTGGAGGACTATAGAGTACCAGGTACACTTATTAAGATACTTACTTTTATCGCTAGTAATATTAGTACTTTTTGGTACCTTGTGTGTGTTAATAAATAATTAGTTTATTTCTTTTAATGCTTACGACCCTAAGCTAAATTGGCTCAGTGGATATAAAATCTTTCCCCTGGTTATAACAATCGTCAAAGAAATTTACGAACCATTTTTTAGATGATCAGATAATTTGAAAAGCCTGTCAACGAAGTAACAGAGCAATCATTATTGTGAAATCAGATAACTTTATCGAATCACATGCTTAATTTGTCCTTTAGATGTTTACGAGTTTTTGTGTAATAGTCCTTATTGTATCTTGTTTGATGCAAGTATTTTCTGATTAATATTGTGATAATATATGATTGCTAAAAATGAGTTACTATGATGGGCAAGTTTGCTTTCAAGGCTATTTAACATTAAGGACTTTTAGTTAGTAGGAAAAGGTATTTTTCTTTTCGCTATCGCTCGCCTTGTAGGCTAGCTCTATCGTTCTGCTCTACCCATCCTTTTGCTCAGTGACTCATAAATTAAAGAGGTGCAAAGATTATATGTTTATGATTACGCACCACAACTATTATAGAGTACAAGGTCTTTCATGTTAGTAATTAGATTCCATAGCTTCAGAAGTAGAGGCCTAATGTTTGGCAATTGAACTCTATAGCTGTGATAGTAGTGCGATGACCTCATATTAACATTCGGATATTGCAGCTACAATAGTAGTGCAAGTCTGTGTTTGATATTAGGCTTCGTGATTGCGATAGCAGTGCAAGAACCCTATGTTGGTGTTGAGTGTTATGCTTGTAATAGCGATAGTGGTACAAGAACCTCATGTTAATGATTAAGCTCCATAGCTGCGATAACAGTGCAGGACCTCATATTGGTAATTAGGCTTCACAGTTACTATATTAGTGCAAAACTATGTTTAATAATTAGGTTCTGTGGCTGTGATAACCAGTGTTTACCATTTTCTATCATATAACCAAAGTGTTCATAATATAATAGTAATAAATTTTAAAAGCAGTATAAAGAAATATAGAAAATATAGTATATGAAATAGTATAGTTATACATTCTATTACTAAGCAAAGACTTAGCCTAATTTGAATATTTTAAGTTAATTGTAATAAGAAATAGAGCAAAAAACAGATTAAATCATAGGAGTAGAATTCAGATATTTTATAATTCCATACTATAGACTAAATAGTAAGCAACCTAGTATAGAAAAATTGATTGTTAAATTTCTAATTTACGCATGTATAAATTATAAAACCTTGTCTTTATTTTTGTGGAATAGGTTTATTTGGGAAAGTGAAAGTGACAGAGTTCAAAGATTTATGTGGTAAATTATATAATATAGAAAAAATTTTTATTTACAATTATAATAATTAAATAATAAGACAATTTTCAGACATTGTTTTTTATGGAACCAAATTTTTATCAAGTTAAATTCTTGTACTAAATAATTTATTATCAAATCAAATAAAAATCTTATTTCAAACAATAATATGATAAACATAATTATTTTTAATTTTCTATAAAACAAAAAGTCTTGTATAATGCTATAAACAGAACATAAAGTTCATATTATCAATTTCTAATACTTTTTAACAATTTCAAACACGTTCGAGAATTACAGCAATTCTTGGAAAAAAAAATTGATGAGCTTATAAAATTTCGATAGTTTTTAGATTAGGAATGGTATATAGTTGGCTTACCTTGACTACCACTAATCAAGCGGATCTAATTGCATATTTTATTTTATTTTTTTGGAGTTGATAAGTTAAATGTCCTAAAATATGTGATCCTGATGCAGCTAGAAGATGTCCAAAAGCAATGGTTACAAGGATAAATCATAAAGTGGATTAATATAGATTTACAAGAATTAGAGTATAAATCTTAAAATCGAAATAAATACTTACCACCTAAGAAGTAAACAAATTTGAAAGATCTAGTTAATACTGTGGTAAGATTCACAAATTTTAGAAATAAATTATATAGCATACAAATATATTTACCACTATTAGCATTAGTAATATTATAATCAAATCCCAATTTCTTTTTTACAGATAAATATTGAGGAGCAAAGACCTCATTAATTTCTACTAGCCCAATATCTGAAAGTTTAAGATTGGCTCTTTTTAATGCTTCTTTAATTGCCGGTACAGGACCTATTCCTATAATAGTAGGTTCTACACCAGTTACAGAGTAACTAACAATACATGCTAAAGGAACTATTTCATGTTCTTTTATAGCATCTTTACTAGCTACAATAATTGCCCCTGTACTATCACTAATACCTGATGCATTACCCACCGTTACTACACTAGTATCTTTAACAAATACAGAAGGTTGTTTAGATAATGTTTGGATAGTTGTTTGTGTACGTGGATGCTCATCTCTAGAAAATAATACAGGGCCTTTTTTTGTTTTGACTTCAACTGGTGTTATCTTATTAAAAAAACACCCAGCAGCTTCAGCTGTAAATATGCAAAATTAGATGAAATTTTTTTTTAAAATAAAAAATTGAAATATAAGATCAAATCAGATAATATGATTACTATTAGCCTAATGTTTTTGACTTAATTTAGTATACTCATCAGCTTGTTTATGAGTAATGTTATTTTTTGAGCCAAATTTTTTGCAGTGACACCTATTGGAGTTCTAGTAAAATATTGATCTACTAAACAAACTGCTAAAGAATCTTCAAGTTTTAAATCTAGACCAAATCTGACTTCCCATCTTGGATCGGCTAATAAAGTGTAAAAAGATTTATTCATATTTTCAGTACCAATATTTGAAACCTGATCCAATTTCTTGAACTATGTTAATTACAGCTTAAAAACCAGATCTACATAGTCGATTTATAGTTAAAGCTAGTATTTTGATCGGTAGACCAGCCCTTAAACCTACGTGATAAGCTAGATATAGAGCTATATTATCAGTTTGTAAAACATTTCCAAGCCAATGGTAAAACCCTGATCTACAAATTTTTAAATGATTAAGTTAGAAGGTGGAAGATATTAATCAAAATCTTTGTCTAATTATTTCTAAGCTAATGTCTTAGAGCTATCGCGCTATATTTGTCACTATTATTTTTTTATATAATTATTTTTTTGAATAGCAAAATCGTGATCTCTAATGATATATATAAAATATTAATAACAAATATATTAGTATAATTTAATATTCATCAAGTAATCGACCTT